TTTGGTATTTATTTACACAGGGAATGGGAGATCCTTTTCTCATGCAGCAATGGCCTCATGTAGACTCCATTGGCAACCTTAGCTCCATCTCCACAAATTCAACATTCTCCGAAAATTATAATATAGACAATAATCAATCTTATTATAATTATAATAATAATAATAATAACACGATGAGCTCCCATCAACCGGTGCTCGACTTTAATAACATTAGACCGTCAAAACAGCTCAAAATTGTGAAAGATGACGGTTTTTCATACTCTCCCCCTTCAGATAGTGTTAATTTGGTCAACTCAGGGCTTCTGGAGCCGAAAGAGGAAATTTGGTATAATTCTTCAGGTGGGGCCCTCAATTTCTCTTCTCCCGAGTCCATTATCTCGACTGGGAGCCAAAATCACGTGGTGAAGAGAGGGAGCACGGGAGCTAACGGTAGCCGGCTTCCACAGGATCATATTATGGCTGAGAGGAAAAGGAGGGAAAAACTTAGCCAGAGATTTATTACACTGGCCACTCTTGTTCCTGGGTTGAAAAAGGTAAACTGTAAATACTAAATACTATTCTTTCTTTTTTGGCTCAAAATTCATTTTTTTTTTTTTTGGTTGTTTTACATATGTTGACCAATCAGCTTCTCTCCATGTATTTTGGAGCAATTCTTGCTTTGAAGATTCCTTTGTTATTTTATTTATTAAGCACATACATGTGACATGTCTAATAAATTTTGTTCCTTTTTTGGTTAATTAATTGATCTATCCATCATTTATAATTATTTTGTTAAGTAAAATTTCTTAAATTGATCAATTTAATTTATTTTTTTTACTTATTTTTTGTTTCAAATTCATTTAGATGGACAAAGCCTCTGTTCTTGGTGATGCAATCAACCACATAAAACAACTCCAAGAAAAAGTGAAGGCCCTTGAGGAGCAAACCAGAAAGAAGAGTACAATAGAGTCTATGGTTTTGGTGAGAAAATACGAAGTCACGTGCGCGGCCCACAGTAGCAGCGAGAACTCTACCACGGACGAGCAGAGCATCTCGAGTGGGCCCACGAGTACAGAATCTTTCCCAGAGATCGAGGCTCGGTTTTGCGACCGAGATGTCCTCATCAGCATTCACTGTGAGAAGAGAAAAGGAGTTCTTGAAAAAACAGTGGCTGAGATTGAAAAACTCCATTTATCAGTTGTTAACAGCAGTATCATGAGCTTTGGAGATTCAGCTCTCAATATCACAGTTGTTGCACAGGTTTGTGAGTGGTGTGTATGAAAATTGAAAAAATAACATATCATTAGAGATAATTACACAAATAAAAGAAAAAAAAAATTAATTACATTCCTATTTTTAAATAATTTTTTTCTCCCCATGCAGAAGGATGACGAGTCGGATATGTCGATGAAGGACTTAGTGAAGAATTTACGAGACGCGCTCAAGATATTCGTGTGAAAAATCGAAGTTGTTGAATCAATTGAAGGGGAATGAATTGAAGCTTTAATGTTTGACTTGTGTTTTGCTATGGGAATCATTTTTTGGAGAAGGGTTTTTTTTCGACATTTTTTGGCATGGTCTGAAATAAGTTTTTTGGCCATGTTTAAGATTTTTTATCCTTCTGTTGTAAAGTGACTTACCTCATAGCTCTGTTAGGTTTTTTTCATTGGGTGGATTAGACATGGAAATTTGGAGAAGAAATATGTGGTGTTTAATTTGGAGGTATTTCAGACTGTTTTGCTGAAGCTTCTTTTCTTTGTCAATTGTCATAGATGTCATCTGCTGTTATTTGTAATTTGTGTGTTTGTTATTTATTATTTTCTTTTCGAGTTTTCAAGCTATAAAACAAATATTCTATTTATAGGAATTGAGAGCCACAAAAATAATAGTTAAAAGTTAAAACTAGTTTGATAGAGAAGGCAGATTAAAAATACGAGTCCTATGAAAACTATAGCATTTTATCAATTAATTCTGTTGAATAAAATGATGTTGCCCGTTATTTTAATATCAGATATATTATAATGGCTAGTCTACTTTCTTAAGCAAACGATCAGATTAATATCTCAGCAAGAAGAAATAGCAACCTTAATAATTAAAAACGAATTAGAGTTTCTTCAAATTGTATCATTGGTCAACTCAAAGACTATCCCAATTCACTAATGCTAACTGTTCTATTTAAATTTATCAACTTCATCTCGAATTTATTTAAAAATTTGGGATGGCTCATTAGGTAATTAATTAATTAATATATTAGACAGTTGACATTTATTTTTGAAGTTTGGTCGTACGATGTGATGGTGAATGAGCGAACAATTAGTCTATGTAATTATAAATTCTTGATACGTATGGAACCAAGGAAAAGAAGAATATAACTAATGCTTATTATTTAACTTTATCATATTAACACACCTTATAAGCTCATATCATTATTAGATCAGAAATATTTTGCAATTATGATCATGTAATTGATGAGATTTTCTCATGTGTTTTCACAAATATTTTTACTATATTTTGTCCTCACCGTGCAGTTATGCAGACCCATTTTAAATTAACCCTCAAGTAAAATGGCTAAATTCATATTCATATCTTGGCTGATTTTCAGGTCTTTGCTGGGCCGAGTTTAATTGCAGTTTTTGGATAATTAAATACGGAATATCGTAAGGTGTCATGGTGTAGTTGGTTATCACGTCAGTCTAACACACTGAAGGTCTCCGGTTCGAGTCCGGGCGACGCCATTTTGAAATTCTCGTTTTGCTTCTCTACTCTATTTGCCTTATTCAGTTACGCATGCCTACGACGTCGTATTGGCTCCTTCATAAATCAGTCATACCTTTACGCTCCAAGACGTAGCAGACCCGCGGCAAGTAAGACACGTCACTGAACCATCATGTCCAATGAAATCCACCCACGGCAGTCCACAGCATCACTATCTCGATTCCCATTGGTCCAATATCTCCACGTCATCAACCTACGGTCTCTGGTGCACATACGCCAACATTTGTTCCGTGTGGTTAATATATATTACCGCAATGTTATATTCCTTCCTATTAAGTGAATATATTTAAAATTAAATAAAAAATCCCTATTCCGGGCTCAATCATCTGCGAACAATCTAGCGGTACCTCGAATTTCTTCTCCCTAAATCTCCATCATTTGCTCTCCGTAATTCTCCATGGACGTGAAGCTTCGATCCCCATTTTTCGCCGGCGCGTTGTGTTTGTTTCTGATCGGAACCCAGTTTTTGAAATCGACGGCCTTGATTGCTAACCAAGAATTCAATCCTCCATATTCAAAAGCTATTTCGGTAACTATTTGACTTGTTATGATCGTGTAGATAGAAATGATGCTTCTAACTATTTGACTCGTTGTGATCGTGTAGATAGAAATGATGCTTCACTTTTAATGTTTGATTCAATTGACATGGGGTTTAGTAATTATCCGTCTGAATTTTTTGGGTCTTTATAATTTTGTAGGATTTGAAGGAAGCAATTGTGAAAGGGTTAGGGTTCCAAGCTGAGGATTTCAAGATATCTGGGTTTGATTTGAGGGATGCCCAGGTGGGGAAGTCGGTGGCGTATGAATTCGATGTGGAGATTGATAATAAAGTGATGCCGTTGAAGTTGTTGGAGGATGTGAAAAAATGGGAATACGTGGATTTACCCATTTTCCAAACGGAGCACCCTATTCGACCTGGGGACGCAAATGGGCTGCTACCAAGAAGAAAGTTTGATGATAAGATGCCCGTGCTTGTCCCGTTTCAATTGGCGGGCCCCATGGAGCTCTGGATTCAGGATGCTGATCATATGAGGATATCGTTGCCTGTAAGTCCCTTGTTTCCCTTTAGCAATGATGATCCAGTTCTGATAATTCTTATGGAGATTCCTTGATGTTGTTTGACTTGCACGTAGTGTGGATTATTTTTATTTCATGAAGATTGATTGATGGTGAGGATATTGTTGCCTCTACGTCAATATTTCCCGTTAGATGTTGATAATATCTTGTGGAAATTTTGTGATGAGCTGAGTGAATGTATATGAGAATGAAATTTTTTCTGCTTATAATGGGGATTTAATGAAGAAACGAGAGCGGTGAACAAATAGCAATTCCGATGTGTTCAGGCTTCAGAGTGTCAAAACATGTTTCTTGTTTTCGAATAATTCCAGTCTTTTCTTATCATTGTATTGTAGAAATTCCATATGTTATCCATAAAGCATCACCAGTATTAGAGGACCATATTTTTACATCTAATAACATATTCATACATGGAAAAGCGTAAGTAGCATCATAAAATCGTAACATTCGAGACTTGCATGTTTCTATTTGTTTTCTTTCCATTTCAACATGTTCGCATAACAACAAGATCAAAAGAAATCCACCATTGCTACCTATTTCTTGCTAATCATTGGCTCGAATCTAAATATATCCAAAAAATCCCGTGCAGCACGACGTGGATGCCGGTGTCTTAAAGAAAGTCGTCCTAGCCGAAGGTGCCGTGGTCACAGTCAAGGGCGCCCGATCAGTCAGTCTTCGGCACCCAGTCGAGCTCCCTCTCCCCTTCAACCGAACCACCACCTCAACCTTTGCCTCGGGCCTCCTGACCCTAGCCGAGCACCTCCAGACCGCAGCCCGTTCTTCAAACGGGCCCATAATCTCCCTCCGCATCGTGGGCCCCACTTCCCTCACCTCCCCTCCCTCTCCTTCACGGGACAGCCGCCTCAAGCTCAAACGCCTTGCCCCAGGCCTGGTGGAGTTATCCTCCGCTTCGCGCACAAAGCACGGTCCAGGCCCAATCTCAGCCGTCGATCTCCACGGAGAATCGACAGCCTTGCTTGCTCCAGACCGATTCTCAGCCCTGTGGCCTGTGGTTTCGGTAAACGGGTCAAGCCCGAACCTTGTTGGGTTCGAGGCCCTGTTATCGTCTGTTTTGGGCCCGCGGGCTAAGAAGGAGGGCTCGTTTAAGCTTGTGAGGGCGGATGTTTCGGCCCAGACATTTATGAAAATAGGGTTCGGGGTGGAGAGGAAGGTGGGGGAAAAGGAGGTGGAAGGTATACCGGTGTGGAGGACAAAGCCATCGAGCGTGACTATGCATTTCGAGGTTTTGGCGAAAGTCGAGGGGAATAAAGTTGTTCCGGAGAGGGTGGTGCAGGTGAACCCTGTGATTGGAGAGGACACGGTGGAGTCCAGTGTGCTCGTGGGGAATGTTACGATGTCGAGGGTGCAGGTGGTGCACCCGCCTGCGAACCCGTTTTCGTTGTGAGTGGCTTTTTCTTGTTGGGTTGTTTGAACTGTAGCTCTTTTTTGGGGGGGTTGATTTTTGAAATGGAAGTTGAGGCTGAGAAAAAAGTGTAGAGGTTCTTGTTTGTTATAAATTATAATTAGGCTGTGATGATGATATATATGTATATGACAGTTGTATGAGATGGGGCCTGATGTGGAAGATGTATTGATGTTGGTTGCCCTTTGATGTGAGCTTTGTTATTGTGACATTAGTTAGTGACTTCAAATGTCGTTTTGCCATGCGTTGAACTGTCAAATACTGTTCGAGATACTTGTGGTTGCCTGGGAGAGCTTCTGGTTTTGTGTGTAACAAAGTGACATATGTTATTCATTCTCTGTTTTGGTCTCTTATTTATTGTCGTTGGACTGAATTTCAGAATTGTGTGATTACTCAAAGTCGCATTTTCCACCAGAAAGCTTTTGTATATGTTGCCTGTAGTATACAAAGTTAAAAAGATCAATCAAGTGAAGTGTGATAAACTCGATGAAAGGAGCAAAATGTGGTATGTAATTAAGCTCGATCAAGTGACTTCAATTTCCTGCATAATGTATATATATGAGTTTCCCTCGACGCTACTAGTTCGCGTGCTCACGGACTCGCCTTCAAATTTTCAAGAGAACAAAAGTGACCAGTAAAAGGATGAAAAATAATGATATTCGAATAGAGTTGTTCGTGAAAACAATTCAGTTTGGTTTGAGAAAGTTCGAGCAAACAATTCAGTTTGGTTCGTGAAAGTTCGAGCTAGACTCGATTGTTTGAGTGAGCCATGCTCGAATACCTAATCATGTGTGTATGATACAACTTGATTTTATTTTTATATTTTTATTTTTTTTTACCTTTTTATGGGTATTAAATAAAACAGTCGACACAAACTTGTTCGCTAATAGCCCATTATACGAGTTAGGCAGAATAGATTCGAGCTACTATAAACTTAAACAAGTCGAGTACTTTGTTCGTTTATTAAAACATGAAAACTCGGCCACTCCCAATAAAAATCATTACGACTATGACTATGTGTAGTAAAGTTAGTTGATAAACTAGCTTATAAATTATAAGTAATTTTTGAACTTATAGCTTATTGCTGAAAAACTAGTTTGTATGATAAAAATATTTAGTAAATTAGCTGATATAAAATTTTCCGAGAACTTATTGGAAAAATTACCTAAAGAATTATGAAATAAGTTCGAATTATTTGAAAAGTTATCGAAAGAAGTTTATGAGATAAGTTCGAACTTTTAAAAATTTTGTAAATTTTTGTTTCGAAGCGACAGAAAATCTCGTAATTTATTCAAATATAAAAACTTTTAAGTTAATCAAATAAACTATAAACATAGCCTGTATAATATAAAACCAATACTTACCATATTTGCATCCGATTTTGGAGACATCAGCTAAATCAAATGAGCCTAGTGATTGCTACCATACCTCCGAAGACTTCTTTTCTCCCTCTATCTTTCTCTCGCACTCTCACAGCGCAGAATTTCAGAACCCCAGGTCTCTCTCTCTCTCTCGGCATGTGCGCATAAATTTTNNNATCTTATGTAAAATGGTGTATTGATTAAAGGGTGTGCAGGAAAAAGGAATTTGGTTGTACTCAACCAAAGTCGAAATCTTGAAAACCGTACCAGTGGGCTAAGCTTGGAAACTATGGAACAAAAGCAGCCGTCTCCTGAAATCGGTCGGACACTTTATCCAGATATTGAACCGTTCAATACGGGTTTTCTTAAGGTTTCGGATATTCACACAATTTATTATGAACAGTCGGGGAACCCAGATGGGCATGTGAGTTTTTCTTCACAGGCTTGGATGTTTCCTCGTATTGTTATTTTTGTTGTGTGAAGAATGACTTTTCATCTGTATAAATTCCTAGCTTAGTTGCAAATGTTGGAATAAGATGGGTTTTTTTAAAGTGTTTTTTCGTACAAGTTTACCTTTTTGGTATATTCTTGGACTACAGTAATGGTTAGACTTTCTGGGTTCTTGTTCAGGACCTGACAGAATTTCTTTTACCAAGATTCCTTGTGTACTTTGTGAATTATCATGTGATGCAGGTGCTTTCAGTTAAATTAGTTATTCCTTGGATCAAAATGAAATATGATTATTGATATTGTCAGCACTCGAAATTCTAATGTCACAATATTATGTATGTGTCGACTTCAATACATTATAGTCACTCGTGATTTGGCATTTAGGGATATCACTCAAAGCCATGTGATATTCAATGCAATTGGTTTAGTTCATTTCCCCATTGCTTGAAAAGGCACATTTGAGGAACTGTAGCAAAGTGCAAGTTGTATAACTATATGGCTAATATCTACATTCTCTGCTTTTGGTATGTATGTTTAAGAAAATGAAAATTTAAAAGAATCAGATGCATTTTGTTCAACGTCCGTTTTATATTATCCTCAATCCTTTTATATTATCCTCAATCCTTGCAGCCGGCGGTTTTTCTCCATGGAGGTCCAGGAGGCGGGACTTCACCTAATAACCGGAAATTCTTTGATCCTAGTTTTTACAGGATCATCTTATTTGATCAGGTTTATAACCTGAACTATTTTTGTTCGGTCCAATTTAGCTAAGTTTTCTTGTGTACCATAACTTCTATGAAATCCTTTCAGAGAGGTGCTGGTAAAAGTATTCCTCATGCTTGCCTGGAGGAGAATACGACTTGGGACCTTATTGAGGACATTGAAAGGCTTAGAGATCACCTCAAAGTTCCAGAATGGCTGGTAAAAGAATGTATTTACTGATATACCTTGGATATTTCTTCTTTATGCCTTTCCAATTGACATGAATGAGTTTTGAAGGTATTTGGTGGTTCATGGGGAAGCACACTTGCTTTGGCATACAGTGTATCTCATCCTGACAAGGTTACTTAATTCATTTACATAGACATATCATGATTTTGCATTGATGGTGAATTATATAATTTTATCATATTATTTTAAGGTCACTGGCCTGGTTTTGAGAGGCATTTTTCTGCTGCGTAAGAAAGAAATTGACTGGTTTTATGAGGGTGGAGCTGCTGCAATATTCCCTGATGGTATGTTTTCTTCTTGTTTCTTTAAATTTATTTTATTTTCCTTCTATAACTCTTTTTCACTCTATCTTTTGTTAGCTTGGGAGTCATTTAGAGATCTTATTCCAGAAAGTGAAAGAGGATGTTTTGTCGATGCCTACCACAAGAGGTTAAACTCCAATGACAAGGAAACACAAGTAAGATAAATGCTGTTACTTTTTTCCATTTGTGTTCTTTTTTCTCTTTATTTATTTATTTCAATTCAGGAAAAAAGACTTGTTTGAGAGCATAAGATTGTGTGCAAATGAATAGTGAACTTTAATAGTTAGCTTATGTCACTGCTATTCCAATATCATCGCGAATGAACCGAATCAGAACTGGCGCAACTGTAGTAATCACACCATAACAATAGCAATGTGGGGTTGTATTTTTTATTTATCTGATTTTTCATTTGTTATATATATATATATATATATACTATGATATAGTATTCAGCTGCTCGGGCATGGACGAAATGGGAGTTAGAGACAGCTCATCTTCGGCCAAATGAAGTACACATAAAACGAGGAGCTGATGACGAGTTTTGCTTGGTTAGTGTTTGGATTCTCATGTTTATTTGACTAAAAAGGGTTCAACTTCTTAAAGTTCTCTCTCTATTTATATAGAAACTTTAGTATAGAAACAGAACATATCACATTTTCTCCTTTTTGGCATTAAATCTGGCAAATTGCTAGAGAGAGAGAGTGATAATGGTTTTCCATGACATTCTTTATTTCCTTTCCTTTTTATCTCATGTGCAGGCTTTTGCAAGAATTGAGAACCACTACTTTGTCAACAGAGGATTTTTCCCTTCAGATTCATACCTGTTGGACAATATTGAGAAAATTACGCACATCAAAACTGTAATTGTGCAGGTCTGTTTACTGAAATTTCTTGCTCGTTTATGTAGATTCTATGAAGGACAGTGATGGAATGTAAAAACTGAATTGATACGAAAATATCTTACATGTGAAGAATTTACTATCTTCCAAGCTTCTATTCCCTTGAGCAGATCCTTAATTTTCGTATAAAAACATAAAAAAAAAATAAAAAATCTTCCACCTTCCTTTCTGTTCTCTTACACCTATACACACATACATATGAGAAGAAGTCATTCTTTAATATCTCGTACAGGGAAGATATGATGTCTGCTGCCCGATGATGTCAGCATGGGATCTTCATAAGGCTTTGCCTGAGGCTGATTTTAGAGTAAGAACTTCTCTGTCTGACTTCCTGAAAAACCTAACCATGTTGTGATTTTAAACAAAAATTTTGCTTGCTTAGGTGGTACCTGATGCAGGCCATTCTGCAAACGAACCAGGAACATCAGAAGAACTAGTTGCTGCAACTAATAAGTTGAAGTTTATTTTCGAGGGAAAATCAGCCTGAAGTGTATTTTCAACTAATGGTGTTTCATGCATTCAAAATGGGGACTTGTTGAGGGGGGTTTCCCTTTGTGCTTTATCTGGAAAATTGCTGTTAGACGATTGTTCGGATTTTGGGATTTCATGAAGTTGTTAGCGAAGCAGGATTAAACAGTTTTATTACTACACAGACTGACTACTTTTCCAGCTTCTTCTACCGATAATAGGCATTTTCTGGAGAACATAATTGTTAAAGGAAGTCATTAACTAAATGAAAAAATTGAACCATCACAAGCCAAAATAAAGGATGTACTTTACACCTTGAGGTAATTCTACCGAGCGCTTTTCGTGGCCTTACGTTAGGACTCCTGGCTGCCATTACCTGTTTAGAACAAATGCATGATAAATCATTTTAATTTTAGATATCCAGATAACTGCAAAGGCAAACGAGTTGATTTGTCTTATCAAGTTTTGATTTATTTATTTTGAGAAAAATGGTTGTTAATTAATGATAAGACTTCTTGTAGATTGCCTCAGAATTCCATTTCTTCCTCATGCTTTTGGTCACATCCTAAAACACAGTCAATGAAAAGGTTTTTGTGTCATGTGATTTCGAGAAAGTTTATAAAGCAAAGTTCTTTGAAGCGCCAAAACCGGAAGCGGGACCAACGCCCAGGATACGCAGGCAAGTCTAACGGTTAGACAACCATAGTTTTTCAATAATTGTACATATTTACAAACTTGAATGTCATACTCTACGACAACATAAACAAGAGTGACACTTCATAGAATAAGTATGTATTTTTCTCTTAAGAAAGTACGATAGATCGACCGCCTAACAATTAGGTCCCTTCACACAAGATTTTGGATGGTGTACTGTATTCTTTTGAAATTTTGAGTAACAATTTTAGAACTTTTTAAAATCCGAGATTTTCTCAAATTTATTAATTTTAGTAAAATCTTTATAAATCTCAAAAAATCTAAAAATGTGATATTTAGTAATAAGATTTGACATATGTAATTTGTGTTTGAAATCTCAATAATTTTGAAAGTCATATCAATCGCAATATTTTAACAAGTTCAATATCTTATCTTTTTAAAATCTTTTGAAACAATGTATCAAGACTTTGTTTTAAGATGTCTAAGTTGAATTAAAATCATAAAAAAAACTTAGAAAAATACATCACTATTTCCCAAAATCTTAATCCAATAGTTGCAAATTAATTAGCATATGAAATACTAGGAACAAAAACATAATTAAATTGAAAGGGGAAAATTGTATTTTTAATAGTTTTGGATAAATATATTTTAAATTACAATAATATCCATGACATTTGGTCTCATCTGTCAGCATTTGAAGCACCGGCGAAAGTCTAGAAACCGAGAGGACTCCAATTCAATGAGCCCTAAATCATCTCCAATTTGGTCTCGAGCTTCCTCATCGATCAGTGCCCAGTGAAATTTTCCGGTCAGTTTGCATCTAAACCCTGTTACCAAAAATTCCGCTTACATGGTATTTTTTCGTTTATTTAGTGGTTTTTACATGTTGATTTGTCAACGGGATAGTATATGCATTTGCAGTGCTCGTAAGAGTTAACCGTTGTGGGTAATGTTCGTAAAATTGCAGGAACTTTCATGTCGATTCTGCACATGAAAAATTGCATCTTTTATTCGGGTATTTGATAACTGTTGAATGTTTTTCAATGCTAGGGTTTTTCTTCAATTGCATCCTCATGATGAATGCGCTTTGATTTTAGACTATTGCGGCATTTCTACCATTTAACTTTAGGCAATTTCATGATTGCGCTTTGATTTTAGTATACAGTAGTAGTAAATATTTAAAGTAATGAATTTTACTCCGAGGCTGTGTAATAACCATTTTTTTAGCTTATGCAAGATACACTGTCCTTGTTTTGCTTTCTAAAAATTCCTGACATCACATATCTTAGATTCTGAATCATGATAATTTCCATCTTGTATTTTCACCTTTACTTATTGTTCCTTTGTCTGTGAAGTCCATGAACATTTCAGATTGCGAATAGGTCAATCAATCGAAGGTCGTGTTAAATAAGCATGCTTTATTACTCCTAATAATGCATGGAGAACCACATCTTTACAGTCGGCCAAGAATTCCCAAACGTGAAATCCTTCCGCAACGCAATCAAGGAGGCCGCAATTGCCCAGCACTTCGAAATCCGAATCATCAAAAGCGATCTCGTCCGTTACATAGCCAAATGCTCGGTTGACAGCTGCCCGTGGCGCGTTCGTGCTGTCAAGCTCCCAAACTCCCCAACCTTCGCCATACGAAGCCTCGACCCCACGCACACATGTGGAAAAAACGTGCACTTAAGCCATCACCAGGCATCCATCGACTGGATCGTGAGCTTCATAGATCAAAATCTTCGTGAGAACATGAATTACAAGCCAAAGGACATTTTACAAGACATATATAAGCAGTATGGGATAACCATACCGTACAAACAGGCCTGGCGGGCTAGAGAACGTGGGCTCCAAGCCATATACGGGTCCTTTGAAGAAGGTTACTACTTACTCCCATCTTACTGTGAGCAAATTCGGAAAACAAACCCGGGTAGCATAGCCGAGGTCTTTGCCTCTGGTTTGGATAATCGGTTCGAACGTTTGTTTATCTCTTTTCGGGCTTCGTTATGCGGGTTTGTTAGAGGTTGTCTCCCGATTATTTGTCTCGGTGGGTTTCATCTCAAGAGCAAATATCTCGGCACATTACTTTCGGCCACCTCGTTCGATTCGGACGGTGGGTTGTATCTTATAGCCTTTGGTGTGGTCGATTTGGAAAGTGACGACAGCTGGCTTTGGTTCCTCTCGGAATTGAGTAAAGCGCTCGAGACGTGTACTGAAAATGAAATCATGCTGAATTTCATTTTCCTATCCAAATGGGAAAAGGGAGTTGGGGAGGCCGTGAGGAGAAACTTCCCGAGCTCTTCTCATTATGTCTGTATGAAATATTTAAGCGAAAGGATTATTCGTGAGTTTAAAAATCCGCGGCTCGTCCACATCCTCTGGAAGGCTGTCCGTTCGACTACTGAAGTTATGTTCAGAGAGAAAATGGCTGAACTCGAAGAAATTTCGAAGGAGGCTGCCGATTGGCTGGCAGAATACCCGTCTGCCGCTTGGGCTTTGGTTTACTCTGACGGGACTCGATACGGCCAATTCTCGTCGAACAATGACGAGCTAAACCAGTGGATAATTGAAGCCCGGGAGCTCCCTGTAATTCAAGTGGTCGAGCAAATCCATGCAAGATTGATAGCAGAGTTTGAAGAAAGGCGTGTGAAATCCGAGTCGTGGTTTTCTGTTCTTTCCCCTTGGGCCGAGAAGCTCGTTGCTGACTCAGCAAAACGTGGTTCGGCTTATCGGGTGCTCCGGTCAGACGAGGCTGAGTTCGAGATTCTCTCCGGCGGCGGCGAACGGTCAGAGATCGTGAACATAAGGGAGCACTCGTGTTCGTGCCGCGATTGGCTGCTGTACGGTGTACCTTGCTCACATGGGGTGGCGGCGATTTTGTTCTCGAAAAACGATGTTTATGCTTTTGCGGAGAAGTGCTTCGCTGTGGCGAGCTACCGTGAGGCTTACGGTGGGGAGATAGGTCCCGTGCCTGTTAAGATAGAGTGGAGAAGGGATGGTGGGTGTGAAATGGGAAGTGAAGTAAGGATTGTGAGGCCGCCTAAGGTTAGGCGGCCGCCCGGGCGTCCGGAGAAGAAGAGGATGTGTGTGGAGGAGTTTGGTGGTCGGGAGAAGCATACGGTGCACTGCAGCAAGTGTAATAGGGCGGGACATTATAAGTCGACTTGCAAGTTGGGTGTCTATGGGAGTGTACAAAAGGATTTAGATGTTCAGTTTTGTGAATGAGATAGTGTGTGTTTTGGTTTTTTTGTGTCTTAGGTTCTTGGTTTGGTGTGTGTGTGTGAACTGGGTGAGTGGTGGATTTGGAACTGTATCTAGAATGAGACTGCTGCTTTGCTTGCTTTTGTATATTCAATTTTTGGTTGACTGATCCATTCTTTGTTGATCTTTGGGACATTTTTTTGTTGAAATTGATTTCGTAAATTTTGCTTCATGAGATTGCTCTGTTTATATTCTGCCTATTGCAAGCAATGCAAGTTCTTAGATTAACATATACTAGGTTTTTTTTTTAAATGAGATGATTTTGATAAAAACTAGGTTTTTTTCGATGGAAAGAGTCTGCAAGATAAAGAGGTGTGAATGTGTGAGGAAGGTGCCGTGTGAATGTGGGAGATCGGTTATAATTAACGTGGGAGAAAGGTCCCAATTAATTGCAGCAGTTTCATCCTAGGTATAAATTGTAATATTTTTTACTTGATTTAGTAATTTTATAAATAAATATATAATGAGTGTATAAGTGTATATAAATCATATCTGATAGTAAAGGGTGCAAATTCTTCAAGTTCTTATTAATGATCTTTTAGGAATTGGCCCAGTGAATCCGGCATAATTGGAGAATTGAATTTAGCCCAAATAACTCCATATTATCTAACTACTTCGACAGTTCATTGTTTTAAAACACAATATGACATCTTTGGTATAAACATATGTGATGGGATAAGGGAGCTTATAACATCTATTGAAGCTTTTTAACCAAAACACACTTCATAATTCTCCCAACTGAATCAAATGATAATTTTACTAGTGTCCAGAAGGTTGCTCTCTGCCAGATTTATCTTATTGTGTGTTGCATAGATTTGGTATAGGATTATTCATTGTGTACCTAAAAAGGAACATTTTTTCAGGATATCCTCACAAACCAAAGTGAACTAAGCAGTTAGAAGTACAATGTAATTCATTAATTTAACCTTAAACGATCAAGCCCTTAGTAGTTGAAATTCTTGAAATCAAACCAACCACAATGCAGGATACTATTGAAGAAAATTAAAGCTAGAATTAAAAAGATGAAATAATAAGCAAAATAGTAGCTGATTTTCCATTACCGATACAGAACACAACTGGATAACTGGATGAGTTGAAAAACAAGAGGCACAAGCACTACTATCACAAACTCCGATGCCTATTTACCCTAACAAACACCGAACAAACCTAAAAAGACAAACTAAGCCCTCTCGCCCCTGAACCCCAGATCCGTCGTGAAGTCTTGCGCGATCTTGCGGACCAGCCTCTGGAAAGGGAGCTTGCGGATGAGGAGCTCGGACCCTCGGTTGACTTATGATACTTGCGGATCTCACGGAGGGCAACGGTGCCAGGATAGAAACGGTGGGGCTTCTTCACGCCGCCGGTCGCCGGAGCGGACTGGCGGCCAGCTGCTTGCGGGGGCCTTGCCCCCGGTGGATTTGCGAGCTGTTTGCTTCGTGCGTGACATTTTCTCGGGTTTTTTGCTGTTTGGGGGTGATGAAAATTTGAGAATTTCTGAATTTTGGGATGAATTTTGGGGGAGAACTCATAGCGGAGCCCGATTTTGAATTTTTTTTTCCGATTTTGAATTTTTTTAGTTCTGAGCGGAATCGATGACGTGGCCGTGTTTTTGTTGAGAAAATGGTTTTGAGCCGTATCTTATGTGAATTAAGCACCTAATAGTCTTAACCTAATAATAGAGAAATTATGACCATTTGATATCTAAAATCAAATACAAACCTATAATTTTCTCAAACCGATATCCATCCTCAAACGCAAAATGCGTTTTATGCTTTTTTTTTTTCTCACTCCTATAAGTTAATAAGTTAGTTTATGAAAAATAAAGTTTACCAATTGTATTAACCATCAAATACAACAACAACAACATATCTAGTATATTCTCAACAGGTTGAGATGTATTAACCATCAAATAAATAAATAAATAAATAAAAAGGTTACAAGTGATTGAATAATATGAACAATTAAATTAAAAAAAGTATTCTAGTAATTTAATAATATGAAAAAAAAAATGAGAAACATTGTTTTTCTTAATTAATAAAAAAATAGTTCTAGTTTGAATTTTCAATTATTACATATATATTAGTTTTAAAATGTAGTTTAAATATACATAGCATGTCCTATCGCTAAAAAATTGAATCTATTAGTTATAAAAATATTTTTAAATATTCTTTAGAAAATGAGAGTATTCTATAAATTTGTTAGAAAAATCAAACCTGATCATGTTTCTAAAATATTTGAAGAATAAGTAAATACACCCTACCTGCTTGAAAGTTAAAAAGAAAGAAGCCATTGATACTACCAACAAAATTTATAAATAGGTTAAACATAGGGTATTATTGAATGGCTATCAAAAATATTTTGTGGATAAATAATTTTTTATACGTATGAATTATCAATCTATAGTAAATTTATTATATATTGTTCACAATCTAATATAAAATAATAATGGATCTAATTTTTGAAATTGTAAAATAATAATCGGTCTAATTGTTTATTTTACTTTCATGTATCTAGAATGACAGACTGCGCTTTTTTTTGGTTGAAAATGATTTGAATTTGTCCATGTAAATTTTGCTTTCAATTTGTATATGTGTTTATTTTACTTTCGAGAATGTATCTAGAATTTTTGGTTGAAAATGATTTCAATTTGTCCATGTAAATTTTGCTTTCAATTTGTCTATGTGTTTTGTATATGTGTTTATTTTACTTTCGAGAATGTATCTAGAATTTTTGGTTGAAAATGATTTCAATTTGTCCATGTAAATTTTGCTTTCAATTTGTCTATGTGTTTATTTTACTTTCGAGAATGTATCTTGACAGACTTTGTTTGGTTTTTTTGGTTGAAAATGATTTCAATTTGTCCATGTAAATTTTGCTTTCAATTTCTCTATGTAAATTTTGCTTTTTGCTGTGTTGTATTTATATTCTGGCTATTTGCTTGTAATATTCTGGCTATTTGCTTGTAAATTTTGCTTTTTGCTTCATGAGAATATTGCAAATTGCAAACAATGGACGTTCTTATTAATGATCTATAGGAATTGGCCCAGTGAATCCTGCATACATGGAAAAGAATGGAAAAGAAAGACGGCTTATTGTTTAAGAAAGACGGCTAATTGTTTTAAAACACAATATGACATCTAAAAGAAAGACGGCTTATTGTTAAAGAATGGAAAAGAAAGACGGCTTATTGTTTTAAAACACAACATGACATCTTAAGAGGTCGAAACATATGTGATGGAATATGGGAGCTTTTAACATTTATTGAAGCTTTTTAACCAAAACCCACTTCATAATTCTCCCATCTGAATCAAATGATAATTTTAGTCAACAGAAGATTGCTCTCTGCCAGATTTAGCTTCTTGTGTGTTGTATAGATTAGGTGTAAGGTTATTCATTGTGTACAGTAAAAAAGAGCATATTTTTAGGATCTCCACAGACCAAAGTAAACTAAGCAGTTAGAAGTACAATGAAATTCATTCCAGTGGCCTTAATCAAGCAAGCAAGCCCTTAGTAGTTGAAATTCTTGAAATAGAAGCAACAGCAATGCAGGACACCATTAAATGTACCAACAACAACATTGGCTCAATATCCACAAGTGACTACACTATTATGAATCCTCTCCATGATGACCCATCTCATCGAATATCTCTTCCTGTAATAAAAACCAACCAACAAGCTTCACTCAAAACCCACACACAAAAAAAAGAAAAAAAAAAAGAAAAGTTCTCAGACAAAAACATAAAATGAACTTTCACCTGCAGAAGCTCTTGAATGACATCTTCCATAGTAATAACCCTAACTGCCTCTTCTTCCGGAAGCTTTGGCAAAGGGCTCCCATCTATCTGCAAGATGTCCAAATACATGTTCTTTGTCCATTTCTTGCTCCTCGGGGTGCCTCCCTTGAAGGATTTGCTCCCATTGTTCAGGAAACTCTTCCATTTCTGAAGTGGCCTTTTAGTCTTCACACTCGTCCAGTGAGTTCTTCTCGCCATCAATGCAACCCTCACATCCTTAACTATGCATGATGAAGTGGGATTTATTAAGAATTTTTGGCAAGTGCCTAGAATAATGTTCGATTAGGTTAAATAACTTACTATCTGCAGCTGGTGACTGGGGTAGGGGGTTGGGGAGTCATCATTTTAGTGGATTGTCTAACTACTACAGCCATGTGGCTATGGCTCTTTTGGAATTCGTTGAGGATGTCGTACAAAGGCATAGTTTCTGCAACCCTAATACAAAGTTGAAAAAGGAAGAACAAGGATTCAAACATGCAAGCATTTTATTAGAGATGTGTGTTGTTGACATGCATTTTATTCGATGGTTTCTATTTAAATCAGATAAGATGGTCACCAAAACAAGGGATATGAAGTGGTGAAGCTCTACATAATTATAACTTGGAAAAAAAACAAAAGAACAGAACAGATGACAAAGACACAGGTTGTATAAATTAATAGAAGAAGAAAATTACTCAAAGATTTCTTCAAAAGATAGTAACGACTCACAAAGTTTGTGTCATTGATGAAAGGAGTTGAGAAATCAAAATGTACTTATTTATTTATTCTTTGGAAGATAAAGGGATTGTTCGAAGAAAGTGCACAGGTGACAGGATTAGAATAGGCTAAAACTCATAATATATGCAGAAAATCTCAAGTATCCTTGTTCTTGAGCCATATAATCTATCACTATAAATAAGAACCATAATTCTACGTGCGCGTTTCAATATATTACGCACATGTAAAGAAGATTGTACGATTACGTCATACAAATCATGGCAATGCTTCACGGAAAGGGAGTATAAGCAGCTTTCTTAAATCACATGCACTATAAATTCAAGGTCCAGCAATAGCATACATAGAGTTCCAGTTACCAAAGTTACCTTGGAATACGGCGAATTGTTACACTCTTCACTGGTACTCTATCCTCTGGATGTATGGTTAACAAATTTTTTACCTAACAAGACGAAAAATGCAGAAAGGGAATAAAAGTTCTAATGAGGTAACATCATTTGAAATCTGTATGTACTATGTAGAGATCCTTAGGAAAAAGTTCAGAGAGCTAAAAATCGTCCACTTCATGAAAAAACTTGCATGATTGCAAACACACAAACCCACATATACTAAGCTATTCGGATGAAATAAGTACCAAAACAAGCCCAATAATATTTGTAGGTTGCTCATAGTAGACAATCACTCTGCTATGTCCTTTCTCCAAAATTAGGCTCATCAAATCCCTATTTCATAAAAAATAGAAAAGAATGCTAATTTTCAGCATTTTAGCAACAACAAAAAAGGAATATGTTCTTGGATTACAGTTTAAGCGCTCCACCTGTCAAGGGTTGCATTTACATTAATCGTAAAAGTTTCAGATATCCGAGTCATGGCATCACAGGCAGTTTCGTTTAAGTGCACCAGCAATAATAGTTGTCTCGTCATGTGTGATTTCTCCACCTTTGCCTGCCTATATTGAGCGTAAAGTAGAGTTGGACACAATAACTTACTCAAAGTAATGAAAAATTACTTTTGAAGTTTGAGGATAGATGTAATTTAGAGGAACTCACTGAGTTCAAGTGCACCTGCAATAATAGTTGTCTCGTCATGTGTGATTTCTCCACCTTTGCCTGCCTATGCCTATATCAAGCGTAAAGTAGAGTTGGACACAATAACTTACTCAAAGTAATGAAAAATTACTTATCCAATAATATAATTTTTTAATTCTCCTCAAGTTTTTCCCTATCTGATTGCCATGCAAATTGACGAGTGTTCTCAACTCAGCACGTCGAAAGAGAGCTCTGTGCCGATGGCCAAGCAGATAATGAATCCAACAACTGGACATTACCCAAAATTATTACAGTAACTCTCATAACTTGTTTTTGAAAATCCGATCAATACATCAAACAACAAATGCAAATATAGACAAATCGTTATTAAGACAAAAGGATAAGGTTACCTTGCTTATCGGATATGCAACTGTGTTTTCCAGATCCAAACAAGAATTCGAACCATAGGGGCAACAGCTGCACCAATAGCAAGTCCATATCTAGAGCAAACAGACTGTGGGATGATTTGAAGCATAACGAGTGAGCAATTAATACATATGAATATATGATCATCACTCCACCTCATCTAACAGCTTTCGATGACTGGCATATAAGCACATTAACTCTATTGAGAATTTGCGGGGTGTTACACACAAATGAGAATTTGCAACCGTTAAAGACCACATCCAGCGGCTTAAAACCATTTCCTCGAAAAAGCAAAAAACACGGTCACATCCGTGTAAAACTAAACCACGAAAAAAATTCAAAATTCGCAGCTCAAATAATTTCACCATCCCGCCATTGTTTTTCCCCCAAGAAAATGCCTTTATAAATACACTCGCCAACCCTCTCCAATTTTGAAATCTCAGTTAAATATGACAACATTGAATATGCTTCATAAGTTCATAGATGTTGTAAATACGCTTGTGAAAGATTTGACAAAAAAAGAGAGGAAACTCGAAAAGGCACCATCACCGTCATGGATCAAATAGCAAATGAGTCACGCTGAGGCAAAAGCTCGGGTCCAAGAGGCTGAGCGCCAACCCTCTCCAATTTTGAAATCTCAGTTAAATATGACAACATTGGATATGCTTCATAAGTTCATGGATGTTGTAAATACGCTGACGGATTTGGTGAAAGATTTGACAAAAAGAGAGAAAACTCGAAAAGGCACCATCACCATCATGGATCAAATAGCAAATGAGTCACGCTGAGGCAAAAGCTCGGGTCCAAGAGGCTGAGCACAATTTTTGGTTGCTAAACGCAAAGCCCTCACTGATGAACACAGTCCATCTGGATTGCGACACAAGAGGATTCCTCTCGAAACTGTGTTGCGGGTTGATGGCGAATTCAATGGAAATGTGATCATTCTAATTTTCAGTTAATTTAGGAATTGCATGTCTAAATTAACTAAAAATTGGAATGGCCACATGTCCATGTCCGCCATCAACCCTCAAACACAGCTTCAAAATCCTCTTGTGTTGCAATCCAGATAAACTGTAAAGGATTTTACGTTTGGCAACCAAATTACACTCAACCTCTTGGACTCCAGGTTTTAGTGTGACTCATTTGCTTCTTGATCCTTGACGGTGACGGTGCATCTTCGAGCTTCCTTACTTTTTCTTGCCAAATCTTTCACCAAATCCGTCAACACATTTGCAGCATCCATAAACTCATGAAACATATCCAATGTTGCCATATTTAACTGAGATTTCAGAATTGGATAAGGATGGAGAGGATTGGTGAGTGTATTTATAAAGAAATTTTCTAGGGGGGAAAACAATGGTGCGATGAGCCGTCGATTTTAGATTTTTTTCACATAGTGGTTTAGTTTTGAATGGATCAATGACGTGGCCGTGCTTTTTGCTTTTTCGAGAAAATTGTTTTGAGCCGCTGGATGTAGTCTTTATCAACGGTTGCAAATTCTCATTTGTTTTTTCGAGAAAATTGTTTTGAGCCGCTGGATGTAGTCTTTATCAACGGTTGCAAATTCTCATTTGTGTAACATTTGGCGCTATAATTGGAAAGAATTAATTTTATTTTCAAAAACTCAATTTAACTCTTTCCGAAAATACTTTTAATCTAACTGCAGGATGCCACTCAACTGACTCAACTCTCATTTCTATCTCATTTAATATTATGCATGCAACAGAGATAAAATTCATTACTCTAAGGCGCCATGATAATCTCAGAATTTTTGGCATACATAAATTGAGTTATGAAATACTGAATACTGTTGCAGAAGCAAATGCAAATAAATATGCAACAAAACATGATAGTCTAAACATGTTCAAATAGATACATGACATGTTTAATAAAAAATCCTCGCTATGAGCACATATAATCAACGGTGCTTCGCCGGAACCAGCACTGAATAAACATCACATTTAATGACAAATCATGTAATCAACATATATATAAATAAATTGGTTTAACTATGGACTAGCGGTAATGCGATACTCATGCTCACACTCTGAGGTTCCCATCCCATTGAAATCCAGGAAGGGCATCGTGCCCAAGCATCTAGACTTAGGCATCTAGACTTAGGCAGGGCATTAAGCCTCACACATCCAAATCTGGACTTAGCATCAGGCCAACACATCAAAGTCGTCATATCTAAAGTTTTTGACCAAGACGGGTTCACTCGACCGTCTCGATCCCTCAATTTAATCACATATAGACTTTAGACAGGAAAAGCAATGAAATACACAGTAATTGGATGATGGCAAATGCAAATACTGAAAATATATCTGTGTGTAGCGGGTAGAGGCTCAACTCTCCTCAAGTTACTAAATTTGAGCGAAATATTCTAATAATAAAAACTCAAAAATTTTATTATCTGATTTGTCTAGGTTTCGAAAATCAATTTAGGAATTTACAAGCTAATTTTGAAAATATTATTGCCTTTGAGGCATACTAAAGTTCTCAAAAATATTTGTGTCTCTGGCTGAAATCTCATCTGACTGGTTCATGAATTCTCGATTGACACTCAAACCGATGTTCCAAATTGAACTCCCTAACCGTCTAAACTGCCCAGACTGATTCAATTGAACTGAAATTCTCTTTGAACCGTCCGGAATGGTACTGAACTGGACCGACGGCTCATCAGAGATTGGTTGATGATTCACTCGATCATTCGCTCGACTATGTGCAGCTTGGCTTGACCATGATCCGAGTTGGGCGTGGCAACTCGGGGCCTGCACGAACACCGTTGACACGACTTTGCGGATGCACAAGTTTGAAACAATGCCATGATCACTGATGCAGGGACCACGACTAACGAAAACGGTGCGCTGACGGAAAATCAGACGGACTCGGTGCACGAGCACACACTAGGTGGTTTGACTCAGACTCGGTGCACGGGCACACACTCGGTGGTTCGACTCGAACTCGATGCACGGGCACGCACTCGGTGGTTCGGCTCCAGCCGAGGGTCGCAGGACGTAGGATCATGTTAAGGATACGTGTTAACACATGTGAGTTAAATAATTCCCATCACAACGAGGCACACGACCACGATAGCCTTCTTAGGCTCAATTATGGTCTCGTTATGACGTCTAAAGTTATTTAAACAAAACTAGTGTTTGGACGATAAATATCAGATCCCAAAATTTACCCAATTATCTGAACCGGATATAACTAAATTCTAAAAAATCCTAACACATTTAAAGCCGATAATTTAGAACTTATGTTCTATGTGATTTATTAGGATTTTACATCCACAAATGCAGCTAAAATCACAACCTAACTAATTTTCTAAAATTATCGCGTTTATTGGCTAAAGTCCCGATTTTTAATATAAGTCAAACGGCAACTAAAAATTACGAAATTTAAAAGATATCATCCTAGTCACCTAACTGATTTATGGTCAACATATCAAATTCGAAGTCAACACCTAACCCATTCAAAAAATAATCGCATTAACTGGTCAAATTCACATAAAATGGTTGGCTTATCGAACGAACTCTAAAAATTTCCCAATTTGCACCTAAGCCTCAAGACAGCGAGTTATGATTTATCAAATTTTATCGCTTTGAGATCAAAAATCACGCTTTAAGCTCCTAAATTCTCCATAAATTCAATTTTAAGTCAAATCATCAAATTCCCGATTATCGCATCTACGCTCGTGGAGAAGAGTTTAGCCGATATACCTCAAAATCGAATCGGATCAGGAAATCAAAAGAGGGTCGGTTGAAGTAAAAATGCTCGGGTAATGTGAATCGGATCTGGGGCTGCTCAAACGGGTCGGTTCATGGCAGCTGGTCGCGGTTCGACGGGTCGGGACTGCTGAACCGGTCGGTTCGAGGCTGAACCGCTCGGATCAGGACTGAGTCGACTTGGTCGGTCTGGAGCGGCTGGACTGAGTTTGGTGCTGACCGGGTCGGCTTTAGCGTGTTGGTCGCGGATCTGGTGGGGAAGGACCGGAATCGAGCTCGTCGGCGCGTGGACTCGCGTGTGGACTGGAGGTTCTCGCGGTTTGAGCTCGGGGACGGCGGACGCGAGCTGAACGGCGCGCGAATGAGCTGGAACCGGAGCTGGGACCGGGTCGACGCGTGCGGGAACGAGCAGGGGCCGGTCGGGCTGAGGTCGGGAGGCGCACCGGCGGGCTGGGATGTGCGAACGGAGCTGCAAAGGAGCAGGGGTCGCGGATTTGCCGGCGGACTGAGCTCGGGAGGCGCGGGTTTGGCCGGAAACGGAAAGAACTCGCCGGAAAATGGCTTGCTATGGCCGGATTTGCGAAGATGAAGGCTTGAAGATGATGTTTCTCTCTCTTGAATGGAAGATGGTGTTTAAGATATAGGGTTTTGCAAAAAAATGGAGACGGTGGGAAGGGGTTGAAATCTATATATAGTGGTTGGAAGATTAGGGTTTGTCACTTGTTTTGGGCCTAAAATCGGGCCTAAGACGTAGGCTTTATAATCGGGCTAGATAATAATCGAACATTGGACTTGGCTTAAAATAAATCGTTCGAGTAAATTAAAATATAACGAGGCTTAGACTAAATTAATTTAGTCGGTCGACTTTACTAAAATAATTGGGCTCAGATTTAAAAATCAACATAGACTCGATTTTAATTAAAATCGAATATGGACTCAATTTACTAAAATGGGTTGAAATAAAATCGAACATGGACTCGATTTATTAAAGTGGGCCGGAATAAAATAGACACGCTCGATTATTAGGCTTTGGCCCAATTTAATGAAATTTCTAACTATTTCAAAGCTCGGTTTTACCTTATTTCAAGGCTTCGGCACAATTTAACCTAACATTGTGTGAATGGATCGAATTTCAAAAGCTCACAAATAGTTTCCAATGTTAGGTTTCATTGAGGCTAGGTCCTTATGTTCAGTGGTCTCTTTGTTTCCTTTCTTTTGTCTATTTTGTTTTGGTTTTTTTATTTTTTTTTTTAGTTTAGATTAGTTGCCTTGGTTGTATTCTAAATGTGTCCAATGTTAGTATTTGCCTTTAATTTGTTGTTTTTCATTTTTGTGAAGTTTTAGGCCACCATTGACATGGTTCTCCTGTCTTGTTTTGGTTGTAAAGGTTAGTGAGCCTTCCATTTGTATGACCTTATTTGAAAAAGAAAAAAGTAAACATCACAGAATCAATCCCTGCCGATATTCCAACCCCGCTTGGAAAAATCGAGACCATTAATAAATAGGCCTCGAGTGCTTACATACATTGAACCAATGAATGTTGGTGTATATACACGCACATTTAAATAAATAAATAAATAAAACATCATATGATTCATAACTATTCTCAGATTTGATGCCAAAATATCTTCCTCAGGGTCTCAGCTTAGCTACAAGGTTTTTTACATAAAAGCCAAAACTTTTTTCTTCCCCAACAAGTAAAAGTACCCACAACAACAACATTATAATATGGCTCAATATCCACAAGTAACTAACACACTATTATGAATCCTCTCCATGATGATCCGTCTCATCGAATATCTCTTCCTGCAATAAAAAACCAGCCAACAAGCTTCACTCACACACACCAAGTCCATAACGCAAAAAACACACACACACACACAAAGAAAAAACAAGTTCTTAGACTAAAACATAAATGAACTTTCACCTGCAGAAGCTCTTCAATGACATCTTCCATAGTAATAACCCCAACTGCCTCTTCTTCTTCCGGAAGCTTTGGCAAAGGGCTCCCATCTATCTGCAAGATATCCGAATACATGTTCTTTGTCCATTTCTTGCTCCTCGGCGTGCCTCCCTTGAAGGATTTGCTTCCATTGTTTGGGAAACTCTTCCATTTCTGAAGTGGCCTTTTGTTGGTCTTCACACTCTTGTCCAGTGAGTTCTTCTCGCCATCAATATCGACCCTCACATCCTTAACTATGTATAGAAGTGGGATTTATTTAGAATTTTCGCAAGTGCCAGAATAATGTCGATTAGTTTAAATAACTTACTATCTTCAGCTGGTGACTGGGTAGGGGGTGGGGGGGTCATCATTTTGGTGGATTGTCTAACTACTACAGCCATGTGGCTGTGGCCCTTTTGGAATTCGTTCAGAATGTCGTACAAAGGCATAGTTTCTGCAACCCTAATAATACAAGTTGAAAAAGATGCAGCTTGTATAAATTAATAGAAGAAGAAATTTTCTCGATGATTTCCTCAAAAGATAGTCACAAAAAGCTCGTGTCATTGATGAAAGGAGTTGATAAATCAAAATGCACTTATTTACTTACTTATTCTTTGGAAATTAAATGGAAAAAACGATATTATGTGACTGATTGTTCGAAGAAAGGTGCACCAGGTGTGAAAGGAGTAGAATAGGCTGACTAAAACTCGTATTATATGCAAAAGATCTCAAGTATCCTTGTTCTTGAGCCATATATTTTATCACTATAAATAAGAACCATAATTTCAACAGTGCCTCACAGAAAGGGAGTACAAGCACAAGCAGCTTTCTTAAATCATATGCACTATAAATTCAAGGTTCAGCAATAGCATACATAAAGCTCCAGGTACCAAAGTTACCTTGGAATACGGCGGATTGTCACACTCTTCACTGGTACTCTATCCTCTGGATGTATGGTTAACAAATTTTTTACCTAACAAGACGAAAAATGAGGGAAGGAAATAAGAGTCTTTCTATACAAAGCCAAATGTGAACAAAAATTGGTAATCATGGGATTATCAGTTTTATTCTAATGAGGTGACATCATTTGAAATCTGCATGTACCATGTAGAGATCCTTAAGAAAAATTTCAGTAAGCTAAAAATGACCACTTCATGAAAAAACATGCATGGGTGCAAACACACACACAGACACACAATATACTAAGATATTCGGATGAAACAAGTACCAAAACAAGCCCAATAATATTTGTAGGTTGCTCATAGTAGACAGGCACTCTGCTGTGTCCTTTCTCCAAAATTAGGCTCATCAAATCCCTATTTCATAAAAAATAGAAAAGAATGCTAATTTTCAGCATTTTANATTTTCAGCATTTTAGCAGCAAAAAAGAAAAAAAAAAAGGAATATGTTCTTGGATTACAGTTGCACGCCACCTGTCAAGGGTTGCATTTACATCAATCGTGAAAGTTTCGGATATCGGAGTCATGGCATCACTGGCAGTTTTCTCACTGAGTTCAAGTGCACCAGCAATAATAGTTGTCTCGTCATGTGTGAGTTCTCCACCTTTGCCTGCCTGTATCGAGCATAAAGTAGAATTGAACACAGTAACTTACTCAAAAGTAATGAAAGAATACTTATCCAAAACAACAAAATAGTTTTTTTTTTAATTAATTCTATTCAAGTTTTCCCTTACCTCATTGCCATGCAAATTGACAAGTGTTTTCAACTCAGCACGTCGAAAGAGAGCTCTGTGCCGATGGCCAAGCAGATAGTCCAACAACTGGACATCACCAAAAAATATTACAGTAACTGTCATAACTTGTTTTAGAAATCCGCTCAATACAACAAATGCAAATACGGACAATCGTTATGAAGACAAAAGGATAAGGTTACCTTGCTTATGGGATATGCAACTGGAAAACATATCCAAACAAGAATGCGAACCATTGGGGCAACAGCTGCACCAATAGCAAGTCCGTATCTGGAGCAAACAGACTGTGGGATAATCTGAAGCGTAACGAATGACCAATTAATACATATGAATATATGATCATCACTCCACCTCATCTAACAGCTTCGAACTTGATTTCAGTTTCCATGACTGGCATTATAAGCACATTACTCTCTAGATATTCATACCGAACGTCGTTCAAAACAACCAAAACTAGTGCACTGAAACTTTAATCATTTCCATTTTCAGATCATGTCACGCTATACATGTAAACTTACAGTAATTTGCACATAGGCTAATGCTAGTCACCAAATCTTTGAAATGCATCATTTAAGGACCAAGGCCCACACATATGACTCTGAATCTTGCCACGTGTTAATCATACAAGTCATCATTAGCACGTTATCCACAGTCATGAAACCTTAGTCACTTTTTCTTTCTATGCTAGATGCCTTATCATGGATGTCACTATTTGGATTCTCTTTTTCAGACATGAAGACTAAATTTTTTTGCAACTTGAAGTGTCAAAACTCACTACATGATCATACCTCACCAAATAGAAGTATCAAAGTCACTGAAATGAGAATTGCTCCCCAGGCCGTAACTAGACTATCAAGGAAAATAGGGAGTGCCTGCAAAGAAATTAACCCAAGCATTAGACAATATGCGTCACACTCGAATTGCTTTGAGAAGCATAAGACCTCAAACATAGTATACCTCCATGGCAGCAGCATTGCAGATTAGCAGAGTGCAGAGTAACAAATGCTGATTTTTGACAACTGGTAGAATCTTTGCTGCAAGAACAGAACTTCTATCTTAGTAATATATGAATATCCGATTCCCAATCTCATAATTAGTTAGCACAAGTTCGATGGCGAACTTCAAATCCCCATTAAATTGACGACAATAACAGCTTTGCATGTTCATGATTAGAGATTTACAAATCGACAAGGTTCATGTCTGAAGCTTGAAAACCAATCAAATTAAAATTACCAAGTACAAAAAACTCTTTACATGCCTAAATTTACAGCTCAAATTGCACATCCCTTTTCCCCTCAAGATCCCCCCTAAACTTCTTTAATAATATTCCACAGCTAAACAATTTAAAATCAATGCTCAAAATCCAAGATTTAAANAAAATAAACAACTTCACCGTCAAACCCATTTCAACGATGAAGAAATCCTAGAGAAAATGAAGTAAAAAATTTATGCTGCAAACGATTAACAAAGAAAGATAATTAAATAATAACAATAATTTACCAGCATGCTGTTTATCCCGTGGAGTTCCAGACTTGGCAAGCACCTCAAGATCGACGAGGCTGAGGGACATGAGGCCCAAAGTGAGCCCGGACATCAGGCCCGCAAACAACACAAGAAACACGATCACCAGAATGTGAACAAAAAACTCCGTCTCGCAACAGCTGTACTCCACCGCCATTCGATATCCCCAACAAAACAAGAACCCGAATTTCACCGCCGGCAAAGAAAACAAAAAAAATCAGCAGCTGCAAATCAATTACCCTTTTTTATATTTTCCCCTTTTTGGAGAACTCTGGATTTTTTTGGTTTTCCGGTTGAGAGAATAATTATTGTTATTATAATTATAATCAGCTCGACCGAACAGGAACCGGAGGGGGTGGCAACGGATAGAAGTATAGAACCCTCTATTATATACTACGTGGGAACTGGGAAGGAGATGATGACGAGTCGCCGACCCGAGACAGAGGGGATGTGATGGGGCTTGAGCTGCTTTTGATGCGGTTACAATGTATACAGTTCTGTACGTATCTCCATTTAAGGGGTGTGGCCCACATGTCTTTACTTACCACCCCACTGTACTAAATTTTCCATTATTATCGTTAATGTGCCTAATCTTTGTTTAGTTGTTATAATATATAGAGAGCATGACTCACGGACGTAGCAACTTTTGGAAACAAATTTTGCAATTTTTGGGACAAATCGTATGACGGTATGAGGTCAATTTTGCAAATTTTTTTTTTTTTTTTAAAAAAAGATGAGTTCTACAAACTTGAAGTCAAATTAATTTTATGTTTAATTCAAAAATAGAAAATTTATCTAAAAATGATTTCTACAAATTCGACTGGAAGACTGACAATCACATACTTGAAATGGTGGATTTGCCCTTAGGTTTGGAGTGTGCGACTCGCACGCTCGCTTTTTCAGTGGAAAATGAGTCTTTGATGATCGGAGATTGTGATATAGATAAACCGTGTGCTATAGGTAGTGTGAAAATGAGTCTCCGATGATCGAAGATTGTGATATAGATAAACCGTGTGCTATAGGCAGTGTTTTAAATAGCTCGCTATGTAGCTTGCTATATAGCTTGCTATATTGCTTTTTTTCCCAAAAAAAAAAAATGCGGCGTAACTTTATATATTTAGTGTTTTTCTCGAAAATTTTACGGGAAATGTTGGAATAACACGTTTTTTTACGCTATTTTGCACTACTTTGGGCTATATTTTTGCAACGACGTTTAAACAATAATATATTCAAAACTTATATTTTTTAGGGATTAGAGTTATATTTTTAAATGACTTAAAAACTAAAATTTTTGATAATGATTTCAAATTAAAATTTTGAAAATGCAAAGTCCTAAGTTGAATAGTGCAATATATATCGGTCCAGATCTTTTATATCATTATATTTTTGGGTATTTGACATTTAAATTTAAGAATAAAAAGCTCAAATCTAGTGGTTAGAATTAATAATTAAATTAAAAAAAAATAATTACAATGTATATGCTTAAAATTAAAATACGACTTATCTTATTATATTTCATTATTTGTATTTACTTTTAGTATATTCGCTTTATTATTTAAATATTTATATTATGATATTTAAATTAAATATTTGTAAAAGAAATAATTATTAGATGTTATTTTGAGTTAATACAAATATTATGATAATTTTTAGAATCAACCATCCGATTTATTATATTCAAGTATATATATAATATTTTTATAGAAATATCTGTTTTTTATAAAAATAATTTTTTATATTCAAATAGCTTACGTAACACGTAACCGTTATTTATGCGGACAAAACGCAAGTTAGAGGTTGCAAATCCAATAAAAAAAAACTTAAAAACTTTAGATTGCAAACTAAAAAACACACATGTTGCAAAAAATTATTTACGCCGACTAAATTGGAGGAATTTCAATATTTAGGACTCAGTTCGCAGGCCTCTCAATATTTGGGATCCAATACGCAAGCCTTTCAAAATTTGACACTGAAGCTGCCAATTGTTTCAATTCAGGGGATTATGAAGGATTTCACTCATTTCTTATTTTCATATGCTTATTTACACTGTTTGGGCCTCGGGAAATGACTATACTACCCTCCTCTCTTTGCTGATGGCCTGGACGCTCGTCCAACACCTTATTTCTCTGATTTTTGTCACTTTTCTCCCATACATCTTCCCAGCACACAAAAGTATAACGTTGTTGAGCTTTGTTGAGCTTTGCGGTAAACTGAGAAATCTGAACACACAGTCTAAATGCAGCTTCCGTATCGATTCTACCGTGTACCAACAAAAACAATAAAAGAGACAAAAATAAGCTTGTGCCCCCAAATCTACAGACTATGAAATAGAGAGCAAACTGAAGAAAAATCGAGGATTGTGCCTTACCCCGGAGGGATCTCAAAGGGAATCATGGCATCGACCACTGCAGTCTGACGCCGGGCCTTCTTCTTGGTCCAGTTGAAACCCTAGCCGTACCTTCTTCCTGGAGCTACAGCTGTTGCATCTTCAGGACAGCTCGTACAAGGTTGGGGAGGGGAGGGAGAGGGCGGCGGAGGGGTGGAGGGCGCTGGCCAGCAGTGGAGTGGCCGCGGAGGAGTGCGGAGCTCGTCCGTCGCGGCGAAGAAGTCGCGGACAGACGCTCATGGGAGAAGGAGATCGATTGTTTCTGCTGATTCCTGCCTGGGGGTATTTTGGTCCTTCTAGGAGGTGAGAGAGGGAAAAAGGATTAAAGAAAAAGAGAAAATAAAAGAAAATGGCTGAAATTCCTTTAGATTGAAACAATTCGTAGTCTGAGTGTCAAATTTTGTAAGGCTTGCGAATTGGATCCCAAATATTGAGAGGCCTTAGATTGAAATTCCTCACTAAATTGATATTTACGGACACAAGCAGGGGACCGCTAATGTGCGCCGGCGCCTTGTCCTCGCACCTCGCCATCTCTCATGGCCAATAGAGAATTCCATTACAGCTCCAGGAAGCTCATCCTTCCCACTTTATCACTTGCCTCCCGTCTCCTCCTATCTCTCCTCTGCCTCGCCTCAATTGTTCTCTGTTTCTCGCTCTTCCGGAACGACACCGCGTCCCCACCGCCGCTAACCTATTCAGTGGTGCCGGAGAAGAATGGCGGCACCTGCGACTACTCAGACGGGCGGTGGATCTACGATCCTACCGTCAGATCTCCGCCGCGGTACGACCACACCTGCAAGGAGATATTCAAAGGGTGGAATTGCATCGCCAGCGGCAAATCCAACGCAGTTGATATACTCAAGTGGCGATGGAAACCCTACGGCTGTGATCTCCCACCATTCGATGCGCTTCGGTTCCTAGAGAAGTCCCGAGATACGAATATTGGTAAGGATTTGGCAATGCCTCAGCCACACTACACAAATTTTAGAGTTTTGTTAACATTCAAAGAGATATTGTAGCAGCAGTTTGCAATTTTTCGAATTGTTATTGCTCAACTCCATAACTATTATGAGATACCATTCGTGGTTATTGAAGATGTTTTCTCCGGACATTTGGGTAGGCTTTTCGGGTTTTTAGTTTGGTGAGATTATCATATGCTACCTGTAGTGTTGCCTAGGCTTATGGATTTTTAACAGTGCAGGATTTATTGGGGACTCCTTGAATAGGAACATGTTTGTTTCTCTTTTTTGTGCTCTGAAACAAGTGTGTCCTGAGGTTAAAAAGTGGCGCCCTGCTGGAGCTGATCGAGGCTTCACTTTCGTCAAGTACAATCTTACCATTGCTTATCATCGAACGAATCTTCTGGCTCGATATGGTAGGTAAGCTGAAAATGCAGTAATTTTGTCAAGTACTTGTTGAAAAAAGTTCGACAGAAATAGCTTGGAACTGTGTTTGGAGGTCTATTGTGTTAGCAATTATTTGATGCTTAAGTTCTGATGGCGATGAATGTCTTTGGCTGCTATAGTAATTTATCTTACTTATTAATTCTTTCTTTAAGGATCAAGACTTTCAGTATCTATGTAAGTGAATGTATGTTTGATGTCTTTATTTATGGGTAAGAGAACATAATCTAACATGTAGGATGAAAATAAATAAACTCACTCTCGACAAGCTTTCGCAAGCAGTTTTGAGTATAGTTCCGAATTTCCATAAGTAAAATTAGAAGGAAAATAAGCTAGAGATCTTATGTTTGAATTGAGCCCACACCCCAATTTAAGGGTCCACACAAAGCATTTAGAAGCTGAGCATGCATTTGGAGTTTATAGTTCTGCTAGCTGTATGTGAATTTCGTATCTTCTCCTCACCACGCAAACGCAACCCGGTGAGGTTCTGTTAGCATCGAATTTCTGACTGTTAGAATTATCTGATAAAATACAAAGAGCTATAAATTCCTTATGCTATCGATTAGCTCTTGCAGAGTGCTTTTGAATGTTTAGTATTGGTAAGGATCTTGTGCATGTCGCAAAAATTTTAGACTATGAAGTCCGTTCTAATCTTGGCTCTTCGCACAGTTGGTACAATTTGCACTAATATTGTTCTTCTCTTCAATCTTTTCAAGAAAATATTTATACATCTGAGGTTGTGCATTTTCACATTGTTTTATTTCTTCTTCGCTGCTGTTTAGGTGGTCTGCCAATAGTAATGGTGGTACATTGGAGTCACTTGGTTATAAGGAGGGCTATAGAGTTGATGTTGATCTACCAGAAGGAACTTGGGCAGAAGCTCCAAGTTTTCACGATATACTCGTCTTCAATACAGGACACTGGTAATTCATGTTTTCTTCTGGTTTGTTCTGTAGATAGACTGGATTATTTAGTAAATTTATTGATGGCTTTGTTTGTTGAAATGAGAACCTAAATAAATGAAACATCTAGGTGCCAGAGTGCACCTGATGTCCTGATTATGTATTTGCTCCTTGAAGCTGAAAACCCTTGTGTAATCTGTGAACTTTCTCAAGTTGATTCAAGTTCATTGGACTTCAAATTTCTAAGCCAGTTGCATCAGTTAATGCTCATTTGTGCACCGAGCATAAACTCTATCTTTGTGAAGTGCAATTCATAAAATTCATCTTGATCATACTTTCCCCTGTCGTAAAGGCAATTGATAAGATAGGTCGCATGAGCTATATATGTAATTTTAGAAGGTATGATTTTTAAATAAATTATTATCTGAAAATATTATTAACCCAACATCATTATTATAGTTTACAATTTGATTTCCAATGTTTATTAATTTATACTTTTGTCCATTTTCGATATGTATTTAGGTTAAGCACTAGCTGAACATAAGTATTGGAAGCATCACCTTTCACTGACTACTGTTGCCATTTTTGTCTTAAAATCCTTGTAGTCTGTTTTCTTTTCACCAGATTATCCTGGAAATTGTGAATGATATTAATTCTTCTTCATTCTGCTTTAGGTGGTGGGCCCCTTCAAAGTTTGATCCTGTGAAATCACCAATGCTCTTCTTTGAGAAAGGTCTTCCCGTGACTCCTCCAGTCGCCCCTGAGGCTGGGCTGGATATGGTCTTAAAACACATGGTATGACTCTTTTGTAAAATACCTATTTGAAAATTATGGTGTTCAGTATTTTTGTAAAATAAACCGTGCTTAGTGCTTCATATTTTATGAATGGAACAACAATTTTCTTTGTTCTTTGTTCTTTTTTAATACTTCCAGTCTCGTCTCGTCTCCTCTTTCTGGTAATTCTCCTCCTCCTGCATTTTTGGAAGTTATGATACGTGATCTTATCTGGTGGTTTTGACTAT